CGGGCAGCCCCCCGGCGCCACCACCGCCCTCCTGGCCTCCGGGCCCGACGGGGAGATGCTCTGGCTGGACGTCACCCACCGCCCCGGGCAGGCACCCTGGGTGCGGCTCATGGGACGCTACCTGCTGCCCCCCTGCAAGCAGCGCTGGCACACCTGCGCAGCCTTCCTGCCTCAGGGAGGGCTCCTGGTCTGTGGGGACCGCCGGGGCTCCCTCCTACTCTTCCCTTGCAGCAGCTCCCTGGGGTGGGCTGTGGAAAGCGCCGGCATTGCCGACGGCGGCACCAGCCCGGGCAGCGACCGGCAGCGGGTCAGAGCCCTCTTGCTTGTCACACAAAGGAGCTCTTCCCCTTGAGGCCCCGCTGTCCATGCTCTTCGGGCTCCACGGGAAGATGGGGGTTACCTCGGTGACCTGCCATGGGGGCTACATTTACAGCACCGGTCGGGACGGCTGCTTCCACCAGCTCCGCCTGCAGGGCCAGCAGCTGGAGGTCCTGCGGAAGCACAGGCCCTGCAAAGGGTTGCAGTGGATCGAGGAGCTGCGCTTCACCCCGGATGGGGACCTGCTCGTGCTGGGCTTTCACGCTGACAACTTTGTGGTGTGGAGCAGCAGGACCGGTGAGAACCTCCACTGCATCCCCTGTGGTGGGGGGCACCGCTCCTGGAGCTACTGCAGCAACGCCTCAGCTGAGGCCTTCGCCTTTGTCAAGTGCGGGGACGTGATGCTGTACCACCGCGAGGCCGAGCCCTGTGAGCAGCAGGTGCTCCTGGAGTCCCTGCACGGGCGGGAGATCGCCTGTGTGCGGCACCTAGGGGCGGTGGAGGTGCCCGGCCACGCCACCCTTAACGTCTTCGTCACTGGCAGCGAGGACACCACAGCCTGTGTCCTCGCACTCAGCGAGCGCTCCCGGGCGGCCATGCCCCTCACCCGGCTCAGCGACCACATCTCCAGTGTGAGGGCGCTGGCGCTGGCTGGCCCCACGGGACCCGGCGACAAGGGCTTTGGCGATGAGGGCTTGTGCACCCTGCTTTTCTCTGCGGGTGGCCGGGCGCAGATCGAGTGCTACCGGCTCCTGTGTGCCGGGGACCCAGCCTCTGAGAGCGCCGTGGCCTGCCAGGTCATCCACGTGGCCTCCCACCGGCTGGACAAGCACTGGGAGCGGAAGAAGAACAGGCACAAGCTCGTCAAGATGGACCCGGAGACGAGGTGATGCTCGGGGACCGCCTGAGGCAGGGTTAGCGGTGACCGCGGTCTGGGAGGGCGCTGGCCTCCACTGGGATGCCCATTCTGCATGGCTGCAGGCTCAGCCGAGGCAGAAGGAGCCGGCTTGGGTTTAGGTGCACATTCCTGGTGTCCTGCGCCCAGCAGCTGGGCCTCAAGGGACTTTTGGGGTTGGGGAAAGGCTCGGTCTTTCCTTCTGCCTCCTCTGAGTGCTCAGAGCTGAATCCTGCACTGGGCTCGGGCTGCTCTGCTGGGCCACCTGCCTCCCTAGGGCCACAGGTATCACTGAGGCGTTGGTGAGCATCACGTGTTTGCTGCAGGTACATGTCCCTCTCAGTCGTGCCTGGGACCAGCTCCGAGCAGCTGCTAGCACCCTGGAAGTTCCTGGCTGCCGCCTGCAGCGATGGATCGGTCCGGTGAGGAGCTGTCGAGGGGCTTGGCAAGGGAGAACGGAGCTGGGGCTGGCAACGGGGGACAGGAGCAGAGCAGGCTCTGTGGGGGAAGCTGCTGCTGTGGATATGGTCAGCCCTGAGCTGGGAGCAGGATGGCGCATGGTGGGAAGTGGGGGCAGAGGTGCCGACTGCCCCCTTCTCCCACGGCCGACTGCCCCCTTCTCCCACGGCCGACTGCCCCCTTCTCCCACGGCCGACGTTTGCTGCAGGTACATGTCCCTCTCAGTCGTGCCTGGGACCAGCTCCGAGCAGCTGCTAGCACCCTGGAAGTTCCTGGCTGCCGCCTGCAGCGATGGATCGGTCCGGTGAGGAGCTGTCGAGGGGCTTGGCAAGGGAGAACGGAGCTGGGGCTGGCAACGGGGGACAGGAGCAGAGCTAGCTCTGTGGGGGAGGCTGCTGCTGTGGATATGGTCAGCCCTGAGCTGGGAGCAGGATGGCGCATGGTGGGAAGTGGGGGCAGAGGTGCCGACTGCCCCCTTCTCCCACGGCCGACTGCCCCCTTCTCCCACGGCCGACTGCCCCCTTCTCCCACGGCCGACTGCCCCCTTCTCCCACGGCCGACTGCCCTCTGCTCCAACGCAGGGTCTTTGGGCTGCTGGAGGCCGCCCGGAAGCTGGTGTTGGTGGCAGAGTCGTTTCACCACCAGCGCTGCGTGCTGAAGGTGGAGGCGTTCCTGCACACGTGGGCAGGAGGAGAGAGGTGAGCCCTGAATGCTGTGCTGTGACCACCGGGGCTCTGGGGAGAAGCGTTTGTCCTCCCAGGGACGGCAGCCGGCAGCTCAGTGGGCGGAGGGAAAGGAGAAATCGGTTCACAGGGGCTGTTGCGCTGCTTCCCCGGATCTTGGTGGGGACCCTGGGGGCTGCCTGTCACAGGGCTGCGGCCAGAGGCTCCCCCAACACCACCCTTCTAGGAGGCACCTCCTGTGCAGCGCAGCCACCGACGGCAGCATCGCCTTCTGGGACATCACCAGCCCCATCACAGATGCGATGGATGCCCTGCACCGAGCGGAGGGGGAGATACAGCCCCTGGGTGGGTGCAGCTGCCAGCGGCTCTGCTCTGCCTCCTGAGGGAGGCCATGCTGGTGGCTCCTCTGCTCCCTCCGGCCAAGGTGAGCGTCGCTCTCCTGACCGAGCCTGTTTTCCCAGCCCTGGGCACCCCGCTGCTCACCGTCATGGCCCACAGCTGCGGCGTGAACAGCCTCCACATCCGCGAGACACCAGAGGGACACTATCTGGTGGCCAGCGGCAGCGATGACGGCTCCATCCACATCTGCCTGCTGGAGGTGGCCCTGGGCAGGGGCAAGGCCACGGCGGGGACCTGCCTGCGCATCCTGGAGCGGGTGGCCAGGCCCTGCGCCCATGCCGCCCACGTGACAGGGATCCGGGTGCTGCGGCCGGACCTGCTGCTCTCTGCCTCGGTGGACCAGCGCCTGACGCTGTGGCGCCGGGGCCCGGGTGGGCTGGATGCGCTCAGCACCACCTTCTTCCATGTGCTTGACCTGGCCGAGCTGGACTGCTGGGAGGTGGCGGAGGCCGGGGGGGAGCTGCGGTACTACTGCGTGCTCTGCGGGCGGGGCCTGGAGATGCTGCATGGCATTGCTCCCCCGGAGCCCCCTCTGCCAGGGGCTCCCCACTAATGGGACAGCATGTCTGGGGTGCTCAATGCTGGCAGTCTCAGCAGAGAAGGCAGATGCGACCCCCTCCTGGACAAGCCTGCGGCTCCCTAGGCAGTAAAGGAGTGGGGTCATCAGCCCACTCTGCCCAGGAGAAGTTCCTCCTCCCCGAGGTGTGAGGGACCCATGTCCAGGCCTTCCGGTCCTGGAACCAGAGAGGAACCTGCTCGGGAGGGTGCTGAGCACCGTGCCTGGCCCTAGGAGCTTGAGGGCAGCAGCAGGCCAAGACCAGTCAGGCACTGGTATAGCACATGGCAGGCTGCAGCCTCATGCTCCCTGGGACAGGGTCTTGTGTGACAGTCCTGACCCTGCAGTGCTGGGGATGGTGCTGAAATGAGTGGGGACGCTGATCCTTTGCAGCAGCATCCTGCATGGCGAGGGGCAGCAGCCCACACGTGCTGTGCCAGCCTTGGCCTGGCCACCCCCCCCCCTCCCCCCCAGACCCTGCCGCTCTCAGCTTGCCAGCCACCTCAGG